TGTTAACACTGATAACAACATTTATTCTACAAGATATCTCTCAAACTAATCTATGTAAATCTACAAACAAACACTGCTAACTGTTTAAAGGTTGAGTTGCAGTGGTCGGACACTGAATGGAGTCCTGGTTTCTGCGTGTTGAGATTACCTCCCACCTGTTTGTTAAGCGTTACCTGTCTGTGTGCCTCCTGCAGATCGTGGGTCCAGCAGACGGATCAAACTACATCGTGGATTATTACGGCGCCCGGCTGACCCGCCTGTCCATCACCAACCAGACCTACAGGAAGCCACACCTGTCTCTCTGAACTCACCTGGACCACGCCCACACAACGCTGTGAGTTCAGAAAACTCTCGATGTCTCACTGAAACAACGGGCGCTACAGCCCACCAGACTCCATTAATAAAACCAGTATTCTTTTTATTTTAAGCAGATTATCGTAAAACACACTTCAAAGTGGACAGAAACAGAATAAAACTCATTAAAGCGTCTCTGTTAGTGTTTCCAACAATCACCAACTCTGGTTTGGTGGAAATAAATCCTTAATTCACCGACGCAGTTTCAGTCGGAGCAGACCGGCTATGGAAACAAACCACAGAGAGGCTGCGATACAACACAGGCAGAGGGAGAGAGACACCATGTGACTGTATATAGAGAATATAATGTTTAATATCTCACACAACTCTCAAAGTGTCACACAAACAGCTGCCATATTTAAATAAACTCTCAGTAACGACGTCCTCAAATGTGTCAGAAAGGAATAAAAACAAGTGAAAGAAACGTGATTGTACAACCGGACCGGGACTGAAGGTCACACAGACTCCTCTCGGGTAAATATCAGAGTGTAAAGTCAATGTGAGGACGCTTTCTCTGGGAATAAAGAAGTGACACTGGCTGGAATATAATCCACCGTCTAGGTTTCTTTAACATTTGTACTCTGGACTTGGAGCCAAGTTACTGCAGCAGGTTTCTGATTCCTCTCTGCTCTTCCTCTAGCAGTGATGAGCTGCTGTCAGTCAGCTGCACACTGGATGAGATACAGGTTGTGCTATAAAGAAATGAACTGTTAAACTAGTTTCACATCCTTTAAACATATTTTATCCACCTAAATAAATAAACATCAGTATACATGTACGCTATGTTTAGATCTTTAATCTTCACCGCTTTACCTCGCTGTCCGTTTATATTTCTTTCTTTAAAGCCACCAGACTCCTTTAACAAAAACAGTCATTTTACTGTGCAGAACGCAGGAGTTTCTGGTCGACCGCGGCCTCGATCCGCAGTGACTGACGTTATTTTCAGATCCAGACGTGTTAGAGCACCAAAGTTTTACAGAGACTAACTCACCGATCGAGGCAGCGACAGAGCAGCAACTTCCTGTGTTTACTGCCAGCTAAAATGACTGTTTTTGTCAATGGAGTCTGGTGGCTTTAAAGAAAGTAATATAAAATCGTCTGCCTGACAGCGAAACACAGCAAACACTTCCACTCATGTTGATAGACAACGTCACTTCAAACTGAACTATCCCTTTAATCTGTGGGCAATAATTATTAATACGAGGTTACAAATGAGCATTTAACTATCACTGTTATTACTATTTAACATTTAAGTGTTTGTTTATTTAAATACTGTGATAATTAACTAATAATTAACAGATTTGTGTGTTTCTATGATCTCTCTTTCTGCAGACACACTCCGACAGGATCTGTTCCTCTCTACCGACACGCTGACGCTGAACATCAACAACCAACAGTTTAAGAGTTAAAGTGACGTTTATTCACGGAGCGTTCTGCATGTTTAACCCACAAACTGTAAACCTGCTCATCAATCACACTGTAGATTGATCTCTGATCAGTTTGTTCCACCTCTTCTCTGTCCGGCCGCTCAGTTCTGTCTATTTAAGATGTTATATTGTGACATATTGTGACATTTTGCTGCTGTTTTGTCTTTAAGTTCTGATGTTTTTTCATGAAAACTCTGTAAATAAAGTTTCTTTTTGCGTTAATCTGCACACGACTTTTTATTGTTTATGAAACGTCACTATTGTTGAGATGAAGGCAGAATATGTTTCAGACTAATACACATTGATCTGTTGATTTTATTACACTTTGTTTGAATCTGTAGATTTCACCATAAATCAGCAGGAGATGATGGATCATTTACATATTGAACAGAACATTTCTGAAAACTTGTAATACAAAAAATAATTGTCTTAATGTGAGTTTCATGCTGACGTCTCTTAGTTTAAATTTTGACCCCATTCAGATCTTTAAAGGCCGTTTTCTCACAATCTGAAGCAGAAATCTCGACTTCAGCTCTTACAGACACAAAACCTTCCAGTTATATTCCCCTTTATTCTGAAGGTTTGTACAGAGGGCTTTAATTCTAGATCATTCACAGCCTGATTTATATCACAATTTACTACTACAAACACTGATTCATGGAGTCATGAAAGAGAGAATTACCTCCGTAAAAACCTTTGACTCCAATGTTGAACCTGGC